ATTATTCAGGAATGTATACAGGTTGTATCTGCTCTTCTATGAAGATCTCCTCAGAGTGAGACGCATAATCATGCACTCATAGGGCATACTATGCAATGCCGTCTCTATTTATGCTCAAACATTACAGATATCGAGGGAACTAATGGATCTCAGATAATACTTTATCTGTGCCCGTTGCATATACATATCATATTGCAAGACCGGTAGCATAGTATACAGTACGTTGATAATATATGGCCAGTATTTCGGTATTATTTCGTCATAGCGCCATGTACTATATATAACCTGACATCGCATCATGTGCACGTGTCTTAGCGCACACGCATAAACACCCAACAGTCGACTACTACGCTAAAAGTGTAGGCCTAACATGTTGATCACATTTGTTTGCGTAGGGTTTATCTCTGATATGTATTATTGTGATCTGCACAGCGAGAGGTGGGTTGTTAGCAAAGACCCACGGTCGGTCACTCGACTCGAGTGATTTGGTTTTGTGTCATACTAGTATCCTTCTTTCCATTTGTTCTTCGTAGGTGTCATGCAATCACACAGGCTGTTTGTGTGGCTGCTTTCATGATGTTTTTTGGATTTGGAGGGGTGTGAGATGATTTGTGTTATGTCGTCTGCGTATGCTGTGTAGTTGCTGTAGGGTGCTGGGGGTGGTAATGAGGCGGTGTAGAGGGTGTAGAGGGTTGGCGAGAGGACGCTGCCCTGTGGAACTCCACTTCTGAGGTGGATGGGGGGCCCGAGATAAGACCCAAGCCGGATGTTGGCCGATCTGTCGTCCAGGAAGTTGCATAAGAGGCGTGTGAGATGTGGAGGCAAGTGAAGCTGTGTTATTTTGTATTTTGAGACCGTCATGCCAGACCTTATCGAAGGCCTTTGGTGACGTCTCGTAGTATAATGTTGGTTTGGTGCTTGTTTGCGAGACTGAGAGCAATCTCCTCGTACGCGAGGCGATTGCACTCCCAGTCCCTCTGTGTGGGCGAAAGCCGTGTTGCCTAGTGTTGTGTATGTTGTTGTTTTCAAGGTGTGTTTTCAGTCTGTGTGTGATTAGCCTCTCTAGCAACTTCCCGGGGACCTCCAACAAGGAGATCGGCCTGAAGCTGGTCACCTCGTGAGGTGGCTTCCCCGGCTTGGGTATTAAGACGAGCGTGGCTCTCTTGAAACGGGAGGGAAAGCATCCCGTTGCCAGGGCAGCGTTGAAAATGTGGCGAAGTCTGGCGAGCATGATGGGTGGGAGGTGTTGCATGATGAGTTTGTTGATGTTGCTGGCTCCTGGTGTTGTGTTGTTGTTTCGTGTGTGAGCGTGTTCATGTCTTCTGGTGTGATGGGGCGTGAGAGAGGTCGTCTGGTGAGAGTGTGTTGAGTGATATTTTGTGATGGGAGAATCAAGTGTTGCAGCTGTTGTAATGTTTGTGTAACCCTCGGTTTCTGTGTCTGGGTCGAATGTCGTGTTTTCAGCAGCAGGAGGAATTTGGAAGTTCTGTTGCCAGAACTCCTGTGGACAGCTTCCACCCCCTCTGCTGTGTCTATCTTTTGTCTATATCTTTGTCTATTGGTGTTGTGTAATGGTATGTGATAGTCTGTCTGTTCGATCCTAAGAGTCGTCTGTACTTCAGCCAGAAGACTTTAGGATCTTCTTATGTTGTTGCATAGTTCTCGTGTGAGTGTTTCCCAGTGTTGGTTACTCATGTATTTTGTTTCGTTGGTCAGTTGTCTTGAATTTCTCTGTATCGTGAGCGTAATTCGTTGTTCCATCCCTGTGTTTCAGCAAGGTCCGAAGGTGTCTGTATTGTATTTTCAGTGTGTTTAGACGATGTGTTTCTTTGTAGTGTACGAGTGTTTTGAATGTTGTTTTGGGAATGTTTGCCTCGGGGCGGTCTGTATGTCTGCGTACCATTGATTAAGGTGGTGGTCTATTGTGTGTTGGGTTGCCCCTTCACGAGATAGGATTGTGTATTTAGTGTGTGTGTGTTCGAGTGCTTGTTTTGAACCCTATCCCATGTATTGTGACATGTTTGTATAAAGGATTCTCACCGGGGAGGTGTAGGATAACCTTTTATAATGATGGGGTTTTGTAGCAAGAGTTAGTTAGAGTTAATATCACTGAGGAGAGGTTAGATTCAATATGGATGTGACAATTATCGTCCGTGGTTAGATATGTGGTTAGATTCAGGTTTGCTTGTGGTGGTGGGCGAGGATATATGTTGGTTATATGTAGTGGGAATGACTTAGTTAGTTACTAAATACGTATGGATATAATATGATGGGTAGCGTTGTGGGGTGCACGAGGGTGGGATGAGTTATATATATTATGATTATATATAAATATATATATTATATATATAGATATTTTATAATATACATCACACATACACACAATACACGTTATAACGTCCCTCTCTTTATATCTCGATTCAATTTCATTTATTACCCTGTATGCGTGTCTCGTCAATGAGATTGCTGTTCCGTGACTATCGATCCGTGAAAATCGTTCTCGTACACACAAGTGTCGGGGAGCTTATTGCAGTACTGTGCGTTCTGATTACTATTTCCTATAGCGCGCCGAAATTTCATTTTTTCATGGATGGGGTGAAGTCGGGGTGCTAATGGTCTTTATCTTTTGTCACACAGTCGGGAGAATTAGGAATGAGTGGCAGACGAGGCCTTCTTGCCGAACATATACATGCAACGGCGTTTGTGTCTGTGTATCCAGAAGACATGATAATCTGTGATGTGCGTTGAAAATCCTCCCATTATGTATGTTGGTTTTTCTGTGTCGCAGGAGCTATAAAATGTCGGTTTGATGCTATGTAGGGTCTGCGTGGAGGGATGTTAGGTGGTGGCGATGATGATGGGTCCATGAGGTGTCTATTTCTATGGCATGAGTTTCGGAGGTGAAGGTGTCGAGTATTTTGTGTTTAATGTGTTTGTTTGCACTCCTGCGATGGCTACCCGTCGCTGCTTCGTTTGTTTTTTGTTGGATGTGTATCTGTAGTGTAGTTGAATATTTTTACTGTTTGTGGATGTTTGAGTCGATGGGAGTTGATGGTATGATGTCTGGGTCGTGTCCGTCTGTAGTGATTGCAGAGTTCTTGTCTTCGTCTGTATGTCCATGCATCGCTATTCATTGGTTGTGAATGATGGTGAGTTTGGAGTGTAGGTGGTTGATTGGTGTGCAGCCATGGTGGTTACTTGGTAGCTTTTGATTTTTGTGTTTTTTAATACCCTTTTTCAATCATGTTCGGCTGGATGAACATGTTGCTTCGTGTGGTATTGTGTGTGATCTTCTGTTCGTGAATGCGTGTTTGGTATGAGTTGTTTGTGTAGATCCATTT